ATATATATATATATTGTAGCTGCCTTAAATCCTTTCTGGTATTAAATGTGGTAACCTTTCCCCTAGGACACCACAACACCAAATGGAGCATTGAACAGAAAAGTAGCATTCTCCAGGGCCGACTATTTGAAATAACAGGTTACAAGTCTCTATCATGCCATCAGCCTTCAAATTGAAGATCACCTTTTGGAAGAGACTATGGATTAAAAGGTAGGAAAGAGAAAGAACTTAGACACCTACTCCTCACTCAAATATAAGCCTAGAGCAGTGGTGGCAGACTGTATCTTGAAATCTCTAAAAAGTTGCCATCACTGGCCTGGATCATCCTTCAAGATAATGAACACTTCTTTCTCAACTTTCTTACTTAGATGTTATGATAAACAGGACAGTTTCAGGCAAAGATCATTAAGTTTTTGTTTTATCTACGTGGTTTCTCTTGATTTTGACAACTGTTTCTCCTTAAAACACTAAGCATCTTCATCTGCTATACTCTGACAAAAACTCACACACCCTGGCTTATCTCTTAAGCTGTTTACATTTTAAGCTTTCTATCTCTAATTGTGGAATAATTTACTTCGATCTGAATTCAAAAATTGAGACAATCAAAACTGGGAAATTTTATGAAGAGAATGATTTCTTCTGGTCCTGAATAAGACAGGCTCAGATGACTAAGTTTTTGATCACTTGGACATCTAGAGGATTACTCAGAGGGAAAGTATTTCTGCTCTTTCTCTGCCTGTCACCTCCACCTGGACCCATCTTGTAAAAGGTTAACCCCAGTAGCAGCTCCTAGAGGCCTGTGATCCCCAAGAATGTGTAAGTCAACCTTCTCTCCCAAATCTAAATCTGCACGCTTGGCTTGCTCTCCTAAATCTAGCCCCTGTTTTAGTGTCCTCGCTCAGTAAATGGCACTTTCATTCAATTAGCTGTTCAGGCCAAAACCCAAAACCTTTTGGCTCAAGCTAAACACTTCATAACCCATTAGCGAGTCTTACCAGTTCTCTTTAAAGCATTTCCTGAATCCAAACATTTCTTAGATTATCAGTGTATTGTTTGGTCTTTTGCATCCACCCCTCCCCCCTTATAGTATATATAAGCCTGACTGTTTCACTCTTCTGCTCAAAATCTTCAAATGGCCTCCCATCACATTAGAATAAAATCCGAAGCTCTCATTGGTCCTTGGCTGTTTTTTTTTTTTAAGTAAAAGGTCAATAATCAATTATGCTTTATTGAATAGTAGAATTTAATATGTTCCAGAGACTGCTGTAGATTTTTTTTATTTTATGAAAAAATAAAGTTTCACAACAAAATACTGAGAGAATAACATAGCTAATACACTGTATAATGTAGTTTCTCAGAGTATTTAACACTGGCTGTTCTGAAACCACGTCTCCTGCTGGTGTCTCCCCTTCCACCCCAGTTTCCTTAGTCTCCTCCAATGTGATAAGCACGCTTCTACTTTGAGCTGTTTTCTTCTGAGTGCTCTTTCTTCAGACATGCTTGTATCTTGTTCCTTGAATTCATTCAGGTTTTTTCTTAAAGAATTGTATCTCAGAAAGATCTTCTTGACAGCCTTAATAAATAACAACTCTCCCACCACCCTTCATTTTTCTGTCCCTTTACTCAGCTTGTTATTGTTGTGCTGGAATTGAACCCAAGGCCTCATACATGAGAAGCATGCACTCTATCACTGGGATACAACCCCTCCATTTTCTTTTTTTTGGTACCAGGGATCGAATGTGGGACCTTGTGCTTGTGAGGCAGGCGGCGGCACCACTGAGCTAAATTCCTGGCCCTCAATTTTCTTTTATTAGCATTTATCTCTCCTTGCTACTACATTTGTTCATAGTTATTTCCTAGCGTGCTATGAGATCCACCAAGGCAGGCTCTTTGTCCATAGCTGTATATCCGTGTCTAGAACAATGCTGGACATATATAAATGAATTGATTGTACAGACTTCAAGGTCACTCTGCATGATCACAGAGGAGTTATAAGGATTCCAAATCCTGAGCATTTGAGAAGCTAGGTGCAGAGGAATGTGAGGAATCAAAAGGTTTTCCTTGTGCTGTGTGCTCTTGGAAGACTTCCCTGCGTCAGCCACTCAACTCGTGACTTAGACTGTTCCCATTTGATCCCTTTGGAGTCATTCCCTATAAAATTCCCGAGAGAATTCTAGTATTTTTAAGCTTTTAAGTAACCCAGATACCAGGAAAATAGAAGCAAAAATGAAGCTGGGCTGGCTACTCAGAAACACATGGTAGACAGGAGAAAACTCTATATGTGGGAAACGGGATTTCAGGCATTAGGCATGGAGGATAGGAATTAAGTTATCGAGCAACTCAATCTATGATCTTTAACGGGAGATGGCATAAGACAGTGATCAAGGACACAGACTTTAAAATAAGCTTGAATTCAATTCCAGCTCTACTGCTGGCTATTTAATCTTGAGCAATTTAACCTTTTTTAGCTTCAGTTTCCTCTTTGCAAAATGAGAATAGCAATAATTAACTAAGGCTGGGAATGTAGCTCAGTGGCACCACACCTGCCTGGCAAGTGCAAAGTCCTGGGTTTGATCCTCAGTACTACCACTACTACTAATAATAATATTTATATTATAATAATTATTTTAATCTCACAGGGTGTTTTGGGCATTGCCTATAACATATACAGTGAGTGGCACACAGTGAATCCTAATGAGTGGGAATTATTATTTCAGTATCAGAGGTGAAGGAAGGCTATTGACACTAATGGCAACCGTAAATTCTGCAGAAAGACAGAATAACTTGTTATATGACTGGCTTGTATTTTATACTCAATTATGATACAAGACAGCAGTGATTCTGTATAGCATTTTTTTGTTTTGGTTTGGCTTGGTTTTTTAGTACCAGAGATCGAACTCAGGACCTTGCACTTGCAAGGCAGGTTGCAGCACCACTGAGCTAAATCCCCAGCCCCCTTGTTTTCTGAGATAAGGTCTCCCTGTGTAGCCCAGGTTGGCCTCCAACTCATGGTGACCCTCCTGCTTCAGCCTCCTAAGTGCTGGGATTATAGTCAGGTACCATCATGCCCAGCTTGTATCGTATTTAATATGCTCAAAATTAATTTTGGTTAGGACAAAATTCACCAAACATGTGAAAGACAGAAGACAGTAAAATGGTTTATGGGGTTAGGTCCATGAGTTGGAGTCAGTGAGACCCAAGTTTTAATCTTATGCTGCCATTTACTTACTCTGTGATCCCAGTTTCTCATCAGTAGACTCAACAGCATAGCATTCTCTATAAATGGACATAAATGGATGTCTTGTTTTTCTTATTGTAGCAGAATGTGAAAGGGAGTGAAGGAGCTGAGATTAAAAAAATAAATTGAAGCCAGATTACAAAGGGCATTATAAGCCACATTAAATTGTGTATGGATGTTTCTCAGTAAAACCTGCTGATTTTTAGAAGAAATATGTAAATGATATCAAATCCTTAATTTTGGAGGCCAGGAATGTAGCCTAGTGTCAGAGCACTTACCTAACATGTACAAGGCCCTCAGTTCAATCCCCAATGCCACAAATATATATTTGAGTTTTTTTGAAAGATAAATCTAATGGCTATATTGGAATCAAGTTGTGGGTGGAGGGAAGGTGTGGAGAAGCTAAGACAGTGGGATAAGATGGAATAAGGAGCTCAGCCAAAATATATTAAAATAGTTTATAGGTTATGTGGGTTTAGTTATTGAAATATCAAGTATATTTAAATAATTGACATATAATCATTCTTTTTTATTTTTTGTTTTTTGAGACAGGATCTCACTATGTAGTTGAGACTGACCTGGAACTCACTATGTAGCCCAGGCTGGTCTCAAACTCACAGCGATCCTTCTGCCTCAGCCTCCTGAGTGCTGGGATTACAGGTGTGCGCCACCATGCCCGGCTGATATATAATCATTCTTATCTCTGTGTTTCATGCATGTGTTAAGCAGTAAAATAGGTAATGCACACTCCAAAATCTTGCGAGTGGAGGGAATCTACAACTTGACTTTCACCTAGTCATGAGAGACTGTCCACTGAAATTGGGATTCACTTCAAGAACAATAAGCATAAAGGAAATAGTGAACATGAACTAGAAGAAAAGGAGTTTTTGATGGTATAAGACAGCATCTAGGAGAGGCCATTTTAATTTCTTTTCTACTGGGTACATGATAGGTCTTTTGCCTTAGGCCTTCTACACTCCAAATCCCTAGCACTACCTCCACCTTCTATAACAGCTCTTTCATCAAGCCATTTTCCCACTTTTTTGGCTCAGTGTGTAACTCTTCGGTATCATAGACACTTAAACCTTTGTCAAGTGTTGCACAAAGATTGCCTCCAAATATTTTTAGAGACTCTTCTGTAAGAATTCTTCCTTCTTTACTTTCAGTCTCAACTGAATAAGTATTTTCTTGAACTGGTTCATTGAACATAAAAAGAGTAGATTTGAATCCTAGCACTGTCACTTACCAGTGAGAATATCTTGGAAAACTGACTTAATCTGTCTTCTTATCTCAAAATTAGGCATTATATAATAATACATAATATAAAGAGTATTAAATGAGATGAACTAGTATCCTCATCATAACTCACCAATACTAATGCTCCTATCAAGTACGTGAGTATCCACACTTGGTATTGCTTGCGAACTTGTAAGGGTGAAGACTGACTATCTTACCTGCTTTTTGTTTTACAAATAACAGTGTATTTGTGTTCCAATAAACATTTGGGGATACTGATGGGAGTCTTACCTGGCTTGGGTGGCAGGGAGCCTTGTCAATCTTTATATCTGTATGTTTAGATTTAATATCCAATTCATATACTTAAAAAGAATATGCACTTTGCAGATATACATGGCAAGTTTATATTTATGTCTCTGCCCCCGCCACATTCCATGGTAATTTATGGGGTTTAATCTTTGTAGTCTTTCAAATTTTGCTGTTTCTGATCTTGAGACTTTGCCATAGTCTCAAGATTCATATTAATTAAAGCAAACTGCTTGGCTAACTGAACACCTCCTAAGTATAAACTTCCTCTTTATCAGTGGTGATGCTTTCCTCTTTAAAGTGCGTTCTGTCTGATGTTTTCCAGACACATCAGTTCTTTCTTTTGACTGGTGTTTGCAAGGTATCTATTTCCTTTTTGTGATTCTCAATTTTGGGGGAGGCGGGTACCGGTCCTTGCACTTACGAGGCA